ACAGCAGTGCACAACATTAATAACTATGATTGGGAATGTCGTGTATATAACATTCTAATGAGAACATTATTATAATAAAACGTTGTGAATTCTTTGGGTTTAGTTGCCGTGTTTCAGCGCGTTGTTATGGGAAGAGCACATCCACAACAGGATCATCACATATTCTGACTATAGCACACAATAACTGTAGGGATGCACCGATATGAAAATTTTGGCCGATACCGATTCTTATCAGGCCGATACCGATAACAGAAAAAATCAGCATTTATCGGCCGATACCGATATGGTGGCCGATATATCGTGCATCCCTAAATAACTGCATCATTTTGTACATATATAAGTTGTAATACTATGTTTGTTGTATTAATATTAATCTCAGGATGCATTTCCTTGAATTAAATAAGCTGCCAGCAAAACGCTTCAGTTTACCATGTTCATTCAGCTCTTCAGCTTCAGCACGCGCAGCTCAAACGGCTGCTATTTAAAACAGTGGTATTAATTTGTTACTTTTTCAAAATCATTGATACATTATTAATAATAACAACCACTTGTATTTTTCTATTATTATTTTCATCAGCAATATGGTTTAGTAATTAAAATCATTTAATTATTGTCCGTGCAGAGGCTATTCCGTTTTATTGATCTATGGCGCATTCATTTTGATTCTTTACACTTGTAATGATGTCCAATGACTTGTTTGCATTATTTTATTTGTAAGACTTTTTTATGACTAAATTTGGTAATGGGGGAGAGAAATTATTTTTAAAACGTACACCGTTCAAACTAGGCTGCTTATGTTGAAGTGTTCGGGATGTGGTTTTTAATGAGACCTTTTTTGTAATCAGGCTCTCAAAAAGTATATACAAATTTGGATATAGATTTATCGGCCAACATATCGGTTATCGGCTTTCAAAAATAAAGGATTATCGGTTATCAGTATCGGCCAAAATTTTCATATCGGTGCATCCCTAACATAAAGGCAAAATTGTTGCTTATGATTAGTGTTATATTGTGAAATTTCAATGTTTTGCTACTAGTAGTGGGATGCTAATGCAATAAACTCAGGCCAAACATTCATAAAAGTACCTTTGACAAACCAATTGCAAATGTTTTATTGAAAGTGTAATCCATCAAATGCAATTAACAAATCATTTAATGTCTCTAAATATGAGGTGTCTGTATAATATGTTAATGTTAAATTGTAGGGCTTGTTTTGTTTGTTGGATAGTCAAGCCAGTAAGTGCTTATTTACTACCACACTTCCTTTCTATTATACAAATGTCATTAAAAATGTCTACAAATGTGTAACACTGATCCGAGATCAGGTAAAAAAAAATCATATAGACACTGGTTCATGGGTCCCGAGATCGCTCTCTTAACAGCGAATCATTGACACTTTGCAATGAAACATTGAAGTGACGTAATGAAGCTTTGTTTACTAAATCATGTGACTTTGGCAGTTTGATACATGCCTGATCACTGGTTTGAAACACATGATTCACAGGTTTCGAAGTTTCACGAAGCAGTGTTTCAGAAGCGCCCATCACTAGCTGCTAACTCACTAGGTTCATGGAACGTAGCTTCAGTCTCACGCTAAACCTCTTTTGTACAGGATGTATCTGGATAAAGATGTCGGGATCTCTTCGGAGTTGGTTCATAAGTACGGTGACACGGCTCTGGCGCACTTCAACTCTTTGATTAAGGAGCTGCGACGACTCTTCCTGGTGGAGGATCTGGTGGACTCGCTCAAGGTTTGTTGTTGCAGGAGACCAGAGGAAATGAAATCCTGATTGTGTTTTCATCTTAGGCTCTTTTATTTGATTTGGGGCTCCGTAGTTGCACTCAGGGTGAAGATTGGAAAATAAATCTGGTTGTCTTTGTTTTTCATGAGGTTGGTGAACAATAAGGCCACAAGCTGTACAGTTTATGCTAAATTTGATAAAAACAAAAAAATAAATAAACTGTGCACATGAGCTAGAAATTGTCCCCTAGTGTCCAAAACTATGAACTCGATACACATGTATGAGAAAACAGTTCCACTTGTTAGATGTTGGATTAACAGGTACACATTTATATTATAGTCCGGCCAATATTTTTATATTTTAAGATTATCGAGCTTGCTTGGTCAATTAAATGGACTTAAAAATGTGACATCCACTTAATCCCCTAATGCACATTTCTATTCTCTTGAATGAATTCAGTCACACAAGGTTTTTTTAATTTTTTTATTTTTTTAAGAAATGTATTTTATTCCACAAGGATGCATTAAAATGATCAATGACAGTCAAGACATTTATTATGTTACGAAAGAGTCCTGTTTTAAATAAGTGCTGTTCTTTTGTACTTTCTATTAATCATGCTGTAAGTATGATGCTGAAAATTCAGCTTTGCCTTGACAGAAATAAATTATACTTAATGAGGAAAAAAAATTAACTTAGATGATTTTAGCAAATGGTTGCAATATAACAAAGAGTGAAAAAATTTAACGGGGTCTGAATACTTTCTGTACCCACTGTATATTAATATAGTAAATAGTTATTATAAATGGTGGTAATATATTTTTTTTTTTTAGCTTTTAATTGTATTTTTGATAAATAAAACCTTGATAAGACTGATAAGACTTCTTTCAAAAACTTTTAACAACCTTACTGTTGTATTCTCTCCCATAGTGTATACTGATTTGTGTCCTCAGTGCATTGAATGAGAGACATGGCCTCGCGTGTGTTTTTGGTAGGCAGGGTTTGGGGTGTTTGGTCATGTGTTGCAGGAGCGGGTCATGAACGGCTCCACAAAGAAGCCTTTGTTGATCAGGCCGAGAGGATTTGGACTGAGCTCTGATGGGATAGAAATGGTACCAAAGAGACCTTTTTCTCTCTCTCTCTCTCTCTCTGCATAGCCAGCAACTCTTTTTATTGTAGGTGACGGGGTTAAAGTATCAGCTGTGATATAGCATTGAGGAATGCCAGTCTTTAGTCATGTGATGCTCTCTGTTTTAGATGCCGTCACATGACAAGGTTTGCTGGAAGGCTGTATGATATAGCTGGGCTACACTTTCACCTCCCTACGTGTTGTTGCTTAAATGCCCATGTTGCCACGCTGAGGGCATTTAAGTTCTGATGAGTGGGCCATTCAAAAAAACAATGCATTTAAAGAATTAAAAAAAATAAAGAATAAAAATAATAATAATAATAATGAGCTTACTTCTGAAAGTTCATTCTGGGCCTATAAGCCTTAAACAGTAGAACTAGAGGTCACAAGTCACCTGGTTTCCAGCAGAACTAGTATTTAGCAGAATTAAATACATGTTTGGATCCTGGGATAAGTGCTTCTTAGGGTGCTTTCACACTAGCACTTTTGGTGTGCACCCGGGTTCGATTGACGTCAGAGTTCGGTTCGTTTGGATGATGTGAATTCTATAGTCTTTGTGTGAACGCTGTCTTCCGAACTCGGGTGCGCACCCGCGAACCATACCCGAGTCCACTTAAAAAGGGTGGTCTGGGGTACGGTTCATGTGAACGCCGGTACGGTTCGCTGCTGATGTGAACGCAATCGTACCAAATCCCGGAAGGGAACTGGTACGACTGGTTAATGACGTATTATTTGATTAAAAAATGGTTTGTGTGTGTGTTTCACTCACTTTCCTGACGAGCGTGACTTATCTTGTACAAATGTTCTCATGGCACTGTTATGAAAGGTGAAATAAAATGTGCTTTTCATACTTTCTTTGTCTTTATTTGCACAGCTACATTAATCTATTTCATCTTCATCTTTTCTTTTTCATGTAGTTTTTATCTCCTATGTGATTAATAGCTGGTGTATTTATTTAACGAAATCTAATTTGAAACTACACTTATTCATGAACCAGTTCATTAGAAAAACTACTCAAATGAAATTCGTTAATTGAATGTTTTACTCCACTTCGTGTTGTAAACGTTCAGTCATATTTTAATAAACAAGCTTTAGAACGAGCGTTTCGTAAAGCACACAGAAAATAAAATGCGTTTTTGGTTTATTTTGAAATATAACCAATGTTTTGCATTTTTTAATTCCAACGTCTTAAAAGCCATTTTAGAATTATCCCCAATTTGTGCAATAAACCAAAGATCAGTATTTTTAGAATGTTTTTTTAAATTATTATTAATATCCTATTCTAACTCTTAAACGTCAGCAGAATCATTCTTTTTAAATGGTGCACTGAACAATTCTCGTTCTCCAGAAACATCATGATGGATCTCGATCTCCAGATCAACCACAAACGCACCGTTATGTCTTTATTTGAACGCCTGCGTGTCGCATTTCTTTATTTTGAACGCGTTCTGGCGAGCTGGAGTTTGTCGTCTGTATATTCAACAGCTTTTCCCGGAGTTATTTCGGATCACACGAAACGCATTTCTGGGTGAATGTAACAGAGGAAGTCTCTGCAGTTCCTCATTTGCTCTCTTCGCGTTTTATGGCACTATTTTCGTATCTTATTTTCATTAAATGTTTTTGCTCAGTATATCTGTGTAGTACATCAATCTCTTATACCAAAAGATGGATTTGATTTTACAATATATGAGCTCTTTACACTTGTTAAACTATAAAAAAATTATAAGTGTCATTAACACATCATCTCATCAATATCCCTTCAAGTAATCATCACCTTGCATAAGTTTTGAAATGTGTGTCTCATATGTAACTACAGTGTTTCCTCTGGCCTATTACTCTTGTATGTATGTATGTTGACATGGTTTTCTCTTTTCTTCCAGTTTGCAGTTCTGATGTGGATCCTGACCTATGTTGGTGCCTTGTTCAATGGTCTTACCCTTCTTATTTTGGGTTAGTCCATTTGGGACTCTAGTCCTATTTGTTTAAATAGACACACAATTTATGAAGTTTATTGGCACTTGTCAGAATTATAAGAATGTGCCATCATTTTCAAAATTGGCTTTTTCTTTAGGTCTCATAGGTGCTTTCAGTTGGCCGGTGATCTATGAAAAGCATCAGGTAGGTTTGCTGTGTCTGTTTGGCATTGATAACCTCTGGCTCTGGCAGCTGTCGTGGTAGATTAAGTTTAAGTATTTATGAGAGTCTTCAATAAACCTATGATGTATACCTGAATGCTGTAATTATTATTTTTCACTCCTAATGCAGGCACAAATTGACCATTACTATGGACTGGTGAACAAGCAAATCAAAGATGTTTTGGGAAAGTAAGTCTGTTTACATGGAGAAATATGTGACTGGTGCTTTCTTTAATAAAAAATTGTGTTTTATGATAATTTTGTTGCATGATTGAACATAATCGTCGACCAGATAGTGTTAGTTTAGAATCACTGAGATACTTTTAGAGTTTTTATTAATATTTAGACTTTATTTTTTGTTTTCAGTCTTAATTTTTAAAAGTAATCTCTTGGGTGGTTGTCACTTTTATTTATTTATTTGTTTGTTTTGTGTGTCTGTATGTTTATGTAGTTTTTAATTGATCTATATATAGTTTCTATTAATATTTCATATTAACTAAAAATATATAAGTAAATGAAAATAAGAAAAGCTTGCTATAAAAATTCTTAAATGTATTTTATTTTTTTTATTTGATATATATATATATATATATATATATATATATATACAGCGGGCACGGAAAGTATTCAGACCCCCTTAAATTTTTCACTCTTTGTTATATTGCAGCCATTTGCTAAAATCATTTAAGTAAATTTTTTTCCCTCATTAATGTACACACAGCACCCCATATTGACAGAAAAACACAGAATTGTTGACATTTTTTGCAGATTTATTAAAAAAGAAAAACTGAAATATCACA